GATTCCTCCAGCGAAAGCGAAGGCGCAGATGTAGAATCTGGAGGCATTAAAAAATGTGAATTTAAAGCTCAATTGAAGGCCTATCTTAAAGAAAAACGATCTCATCTCGGTAAAACTCCTCTCGATTGCTGGAAGGCTAAACTGAAATACGACAAATTGACATATCTGGCCCGCAAATATTTGAGCGCTCCACCCGCCAGCGTTCCAAGTGAGCAATTATTCAGTGCAGCCGGCCTTATATAAGAGCTTCTAAGAAATCGCCTAATGGGGGAAAAGGCAGCAAAATTACTTTTTTGAAATATATAATATGCCCCTTTTGAACTTTGACTACTACATTAAAACACTGTTATAATAAGTTACAAATTTTTTAAGTAATAAATTCGATGACTAAGTAGCTTTTTTAATGTACATTCGCATTCGGAAAAAATATGACATTCTTTACATCCCTAATATGTATATAAATATCATCGTTCAAAGTACAAAACCTCCTATCAACAAAATGCAAAATCGCGTATGTGAGGTTGAATAAGGCCCTTATTATGAGTTGCATTCGATTTTCGATCTTCGCTGGTTATCGAAGATCGAAAGTGAAATTTCGTTGAGTATCGAATTTTTTGCCGAACAGAATTTTGCCTTCGTTGGTGTAGCGAAGTGTTAGAAAATTGTAAAAAATTTATGATTTTTCATTTGTTTTCTTACTTTTGGCGGCTAGACACTAATTTTAAACAATGTTTGTTAATTTTATGCAGATCTAACGTCGTGAATACTAACCACAAGCTGGAAAGGCTGGTTTTACTTATGAAAGAAAATCCCGATATTCTGTTGGCACGATCGCTGAGAACAAAATAATGGAGCTGTTTATAGTTTTAATATATTTTAAATAGATTTGGATCACAAAATTTCTTAAATACATTGTATGTGAAAATATATTCGAAAGACTGCACTTAAACTCTATTAAACGTTTTCTGCTCCTGGCCAGTTTTCTAAGCTCTCATCCTCTGACGAATCGTTCAACCAGAACTCCGTTGTACTAATTAAAATTTTTTTTAACACGTTTTTATAAACTTGCTTTTATTTTATATTTATTTTTTTTATTTTATTTTTTATATTTAATTTAATTTCACTTTGCATAAATTTAAATACATATGTATATATGTATAAGCGCACTATTATGTTTACTCGATTTGTAAACAAAGCTTCTCAGCGGGGCAAAAATATACTATTGTGAACAACCTCAACGAGCGAAATTCACAATAGCGCTATTCTTTATCGAATGAGCGCCATAATACCAAATGGAAATTCGTTCGATCAGCACTTTCGACCACAGTCGAAGATCCAATGCAACTCATAATAGGGGCCTAAATTATTTTCTAGAGAGTAAAAACACTCATATTTCAAAATGATTCTCGTTTTTACAAAGCAATCGCATTTCCGGCTAGTATATTTCAAGACGAATGGATAAGGATTGAGCCAAGAGCTTGTGTAAGCAAATCCAATTTTCGGCAATTTTCAGCAAGTGTCAGTTTCGCGGTTTTGCAGAATTACGATACGCGTTTTTGTACTTTAAACGACGATATGTATGTATGTAATATTACTTAACTGAAATTGATCAACGAAACATCTAAATATCGATGTATGTATGTAATATTACTCTACTTGTAGCGGAAAACAATTCTTTTAATACAAAGTCATCGTTGCAGCGAGTACATTGTATGTGTTTAAATATTAAACCTATTTCATAATTTTTTTTCTTAATTTGCAGATAAAATATATTGTTGCCGTANTTTTTAAATTTTTTTTGGTAAATTTACACGATGGATATGTATTTTTCTCGTTTACACATTTTCGTGGGTCAAAATCCTTTTTGTTAATTCTACGGTGGAATCAGCCAGTACGAAAACGCCCTATCTCAAAAAACTTTTCAAGAACGCCCTATTTCAGAATTCGTTTCAAAAACGCCCTATGTCAGCACATTTTCAATATATTTTGAAGTAAGATAGGGCGGTTTTGAACCGAATTCTGAGATAGGGTGTTTTTCAATAAAATTCTGAAATAGGGCGTTCTTGAAAAGTTTTTTGAGATAGAGCGTTTTCGAACTTGCTGTCGAGATAGGTCGATCTTCCACTCAGCCATCGATATATGTACGTACACACTTAAATCTACTTATTTATGTATGTATGTATATTTGTTAAGCTTTGTATTCGTATCACGTGCCGTTAAGAAATAAAGACATCAACGCCGTGCGGGTGGAAATGAAAAAAAAAAAATGAAATGTTAAGAGTCTGAGTTATTTCGCTATTAACAGTAAAGCAATTACATTTTTTAAATGAATATATGTACATATTTTAGAGTATATACCTTCCCAGCAAAAAATGGTTTAAGCAGTTGTAAGAAATAAGCAATACGCCAGCGGTGCTGCTTGGAACGTTTTTTTTACATGATCTATAAGCCTTATAATAAGGTTGCTATACTCCATGTGATGCCCTATTTTATATGACCTATAAGACTTAGGCATAAGGGTGTTTCTCAGATAGAGAGAGAGCAAACCTCATGAACTGCCGACATCAACACAGCGACATTTCGCTGTTGGTATTCGGTGTTGATTCAAACTCAACATTTGAAAGCACATTTACATTTATGGCTGCAGCTGAGTGTGCAAAGACGCTTGATACAATTGGTTGCTACCAAGGCTGTCCGGGTTCGATCCCCATCAGACGGAACATGAAATTTAGTATTTTTTTTATTCTTAATTATAAAACAGCTTTCGTGAAGTGTAACGTGAAGCAAACGTGTTTATTTTATATGATCTATGAGCCTTATTATAAGGATAATATACTCCATGTAAGGCCTTATTTTAAGGGCTTATGTAAGCCTTATTTTATATGGCCTATAAGACTTATAGTCGGCATTCACGGTGCGTCTGACTCGCGAGTCATTGGTGTACGTATTGCCTCGCCTTCGACTACACACAGTTGGATCATTCAGAGTCATGTCGGTGTAACTAACACATAATTATTTGCACAAACATATCAAAACCGGCTCGCGAGTCAGACGCACCGTGTATGCCGCCCATTAGGCATACAGCTGATGCCACATACAACTTTTGCTTCGCTTTACGTGACAGATTCGCTTTGACAGATAAGATGAATTGTATTAAAATGTACAGAGCGTGCCACATAGATCGTTGAAGCTGCAGCACGAAGAAACATACAACCTAATTACATTGCTGATATTTCTAAAGCAAAATATATAAAATCCACAGCAATTCCGGCGAGTAAAAAAGCAGTACAAAATTGTTTTCTTGACGTTTATTGTGGCATACATTTTGCATCTGACGCTTTACTGGCAAAGTTATAAATGTCACGTTATCTGGTATCAGCTTAACAGGCTAACCTAATATTCGCGGCTTGCGTTTTGGTACGCACGCCGTCGAATTTGTTTTTTTGCGTCACCCGAAATTGGCTGGCGTGCGTTTGCATTTGATTTCATTGAGCGAAACGTCAAATCAAAATGTCACGCAGAACAAAAATTGGAAATTGAGTTAGCTTCATACGCACGCCGTTCAATTTCGGTTGGTCCCATACAAGTTGTATGTGCATGAGAAATTTTTGACAGTAAATTGGCGGCGTGCGTGAATATTAGGTTAGCCTGTAAGTGTGTGTCTTAGAGAAAGAGAGAGAACCTTATGACCTGATGACATTAACTCGGCAAAATCAGGTGTGAAATAAGCAATGTTTCATACAACTGACTTTCCTTACAGATTTCAGGCATTAAATTATAAACCTTATGATCATATAAGCTTTATAAAAGGCGCAAATTTTTGGGAGGGTTGTTTATACCTACACATAAAGCGCTTTGACCCAGTTCGCTGTAATTCAAAGCGGGTACATAAACCAAATTTCAATACGCTCAGAAACTAAAAAGTGTATTGACTCGAATTTGTTTTCAAATCGGTTTTGTATTTCTCACATCTGTTAGGAAACAGGTACAAACACACCACTCATTTGACGCGAAGTGAAAATAGGCTAGTTTTCTTTATACAGCCCATTTTAAATTTCAATTTTCATTGCAATAAATTTAATTGATTGTTCACTTTCATTTCGGTCACGCGCGAATTAATTATTAAAGAAACATCGAAAGAAAACAATTTTTTTTTTTTTACACAGGTATAAACGTTTGAAAGAAACATGTGTTGAGTCAAATCGTTTTTTTTTTTGTAAATGCGGTTCTTACATTGGTATAAACAAGGTAATAGAATCATTTCATGGTGAAATTATACCAGATGTAATAATAAAACAGCTTCTCGCTTTAGTTTCTTAGTTTTCTTGACACACGGCCATCTTATAGACATTTTTTCAAGAAAATTTTCAAATCAGATAGTGTCAAATCTATCTTCTCGCTCTTGCTACTACACAAGTGGGGTTACTCTGTAATACGATGCGAAAACAAATGATTCGCATTCGCGCAAATACTTCGTAAGTACACTCTAAAAATCTGTTTAAAAGTGCGACTTTAAATTGAGTATATTTTTGTTTCTTTTTAAAATTATTTGGTAAATTTACACGATGGATATGTATTTTTCTCATTTACACATTTTCGTGTGTCAAAATCCTTTTTGTTAGCGGCTTTACACAATTCTACGGTGGAAATCAGACAGCAGATGTGTATTTTGTAACTTATACACACTTTCGTAGTAAATTTACGCACACCACAGCAGCTATATTACGCTCTAAAAAGTCCGAACTTTAAACAAACTATTCGTTGAATAATCGAGCATGTAATTTTGCGAATAATAAGGTAGGAAATCAGTAACCTACCTTTTAGGTGGGAAATCTACACAATTTTTTTTTTAGAGTGTATGTAATACATAGGGGTGATTGCCTACCTCATCGCATCTCTCTGTCGTATCGCAGGGGCAGTAGCCCCCTGATATAATTTCAGCATGGAATCATTTTACAGTGCTAACAAATTTTCCAGGGGGTAACAATAAATAGCTGCAATGAATTTCTTATATTTCAAGACGAAGTTATTACAAATTGTCTCTTAACTTTACTGACGTTTATAGTAAGCAAGCAAAAATAAATAAAAATACATTACTATTATTTTTCCATTGATTTGATTTTTGTTTCAATTGATGTATTTGAAAGCGAAAGGTTGCGACTCCTTGAATATATTGAGGCGGTGCTTCTTAGAATACGCGTGTGACTATTAAAATCAAGGGCAAATTTTAATTCTTCCCTAAAGGCCTCCTTTACTGGCACCTTAAGGAATGATAAAAAAGTTAAAGTTGTGTGCTTTATTAATATCGCATTTTACTTACGCCATAGTGATTCGCCTTTGCCATAATGTAGCAAATCCAACTAACGATTCCATAAATAAACGCTAGTGCACTTCCCACAACCAGAACGATGTATATCCCCATTAGGTTTTCCATTTTTAACTCGGTATCTTCGCCTCCTTGTTTACCGGACTGAAATTAAAGTGAAATAAGGATACTTATATTCATGTCAAAAATTATAGGGACACGACATTTTGACCAGTTTTGACCATGATACAAAAAAGAAGGTAGTTTCAATAAACAACTTTTGACGGATAATAAAATTTTTTGAAGTTTCATAATTTGTGAGTATTATCAACGGCCTTGCCACTTTCATAATATTAAAACAATAAATCGGAGTATTTTCTTTCCCATATTTATACCAATGTAATAACATTTCAAATCAAAAACCATTATCAGTACTTGGTACTGTTAAAGGAGACTTCATCGTAATGGTTCTCTTCATTTTGTAATAAAAACCACGCGCGCATTTTTCTGTTTTTTTTTTTTTTTTAATGCCATCTTGCGATTTAAAAATCAAATTCTAAAGAATGTTCTTCCCAAATGAAACCTTTTTATATTTAGGTTCAAATTTGCTTTTAAATTTCTCATCAGATTTTGCAAAAAATTAGGCTTTTAGCATCATTAAATTTCACAAATTAATTTATGCAAAACACCTGAAGAAGGCTTGAACAGACCGCCCTCCGATAAACAGCTAACAGATCGTCGTTTAAAGTACAAAACCGTGTATCAACAAAATGCACAACTGCGTATGTGAGGTTGCATAAATTATTTAGAAGAGAGTAAAACACTCACATTTCAAAATGGTTCTCTTTTTTACAAAGAAATCGCATTTCAGGACGAATGGATAAGGTTTGAGCCAAGAGCTTGTGTGAGCAAATCCAATTTTTGGAGAAAAATGTCAGTTACGCGGTTTTGCGGTTACACATTCTCATGCGTCCTGAAACCTAGTCGTCAACCCCATATGCGAAATCATTTAGCCGGCATAATTTTCTAGTTCATCATATTCCACATCTTTGAATGTACTGATGAAATCTCTGCTTAAAAAAATATATTTCTTCCAGAAATCAGGTAGCATGAATTTGATGAAATGCCATAATTTTATTAAAAGTCAAATGGTTAGCAACAACAACGAATGTCATTAAATGAAACTACCTTCTTTTTTGTATCATGGTTTTGACTATTTTTCTTTTGTTTGTTTAAAGTTAATTTTTTTTTTTATAAAAATGCAGCTCATTATCTAACAACAACCATGTAAGCCTAAATTTCAAACTTTGTAGAAAAATTAGAAAAGTTCAGCGAAATTTTACAACAAAAAACTTTTATTAAGAATTTTTAGAAACTTTCAAAGTACGCAGTTTTATAGCACATTAAATTCTAGGTCAATAAAGTACAAGTTTGAAGTGACTAAGAATTCGCGTTAATTTTTGATTGTTGTAGCAGCTACTCAACCCTGCCTAGATCGGCTTGTCCCTCAATCGTTTTCGTCAATCTCAACTAAGGGCAGACCCAGGAAGCGTGAAATTCCCACTGGGGTTTTGGGGGTATGCAAAGAGATGTCTCGAGTCATGGGCATGCCGGGCACTGGTTGGGCATATCTGCAGCTAACCTAATCAGGTAAGAATTTAGCCAACGGCGTGAATTCCCAGCTGTAGTCTGACCTTCGTCCAGGTGGTGAAAAGGCTTGGTGAAGCTTTTTTAGGGAAACGGTTAGACTCCTTACAGTGAAGGAGCGAGAAAGTTTGAGGAAAGTTAACTTTCCAACAAAAGTCATCAACCCCATTTCTGGACGCCATTATCTAGCAGTCGTCAGCAGCATACGGCTGTACCTAGTAGCCTGGAGTGGCTGAGGGTGGGCCTGTTCGAGGCACGTAATAAAGGCGGCAATACTGCTAAACTGATGAAAATTTGCAACACTGTTGCAACTGCCCAACAGACAATACCGTTGCCAGAAATTAACACCGAACGTGATACTCTAATAATTCGCGCAATACTGCGGTTTTGATTGCAACTTGAACAAGCCCGGTATCAAACGCTTTTTGACAGATTCAACACTACCAGGATTGTTCTCTCACAGGAGTGGTTGCAGTTCAGGCCACGAGTTATCTGGGTGTTTGTGACGTTAAGTGCTGTTGTTGTGTTGCGCACTTTACGGAACCCTGGCGTGCACTTTACGAATACTTAGCTGGGGTCAGGTGGTTCGTCTAGTGCGAGAGTAGCAAGGTCTCCCTGCCGCGAAAGGAGTGTTATCGGACGACAGGACTCTCCTTTGTTGGCCGGTTCCCCCGGTTTGAGTATTGAAACCACTCTCCCCATTTTCAGATGTCGGGAAAGACGAGAATGGGCGTGGACAGATTGAGAACCTCGGTGACGTAATCTACTTTCGCAGGACCCAACACTTTCAGCATCATCATGCACTTCCATCGGGTGCTTTGGGTTTGGAGGCTTTAGCCTTCCTGATGGCTACCTGAACTTCACCGATGGTGAAAGCAAGAAGCGCACTGGGTGCTGGCAGTTTGTGCAGACTTCTGGTCACTCGACGTTTGGCGTTGTCCACCGGAGGATGCAGCGCTGCGGGTGCGACGAGCCGTATTCACCAAAATAGATTTCGCCACTGCCGTCGCGCTTCGTCGGGTTTGACGGTGACCTCACGGTGGACCAAAGCTTACGCCAGAGATGAAGTTGAAAGGCTTCAAATGCTCCGCTCACTTCTTCAACGCTGGTGAAAGCAATAGGCGCACTGTGTGTTAGCAGTTTGTGCAGCGTTCGAAGCTTGGCTTTGTGCACCGGAGGATGCAGAGCTGCGAGTCCGACGAAGCACGGTCACCGAAAGACATTTTCACTCTGTCGTCGCGCTTCGTTGGGTTGGACGGTAACCTCTCGGTTGCCCAAAAGCTTACTCACACCAGTGGTGAAGTTGAAAGTCAGCTTATGTACGTGCACAAATTGCTTAATTTCCGTGATTAGCTTTCTAATAGGGGAATTTCCGGGATCAGCTTGACGACTCTCATCGGCTAGGACAGTCGCTTCAACTAGAGAATTCGGACGAGTCTCCACGAAGCCGTTACAATAAGCTAAGAGTATTCCCCTACGATAATTCGGCAGGTTTGAATGTCAAAGATCGTGGTGCGCGTGGTAGGCTGATATCCTGCGGGCAGCTGGTAAAGGTGGTATATAAACGTTAAATATTTCGAGCCCGACATCACCTGACCGGTGATCGATGCCTGCTTCGATGAGACGATACTGCACGGTGTGGTGCGTGATGAACGCTAAGCCACCACCGTTATTTCGCTCACGAGCTCGACGGGGCACATTGTATCCGGCGCAATTCAACAGTGTTGAGTTGCTGCGCAGCTTGGTCCCTTGAACCGAAGCTATCAATATTACTTGTCGACCCATGAGTACGGCTATCTTTTACAGTTAAATTAAACGTTTTCTTCAAACACTATAAATGCTTTATAAACCGTATAAACTTATAGTTGTGAAAACTTTATAAATTAACTGTCAACATTTTTTTGAAAATTCGTTTACACATTTCTGATAAATTTCTCCAGCGATTTCACTGAATAAACTTGATAAACTGGAGCCAATGCAACTCTGTCGCAACTCTACGTGGGTTTTCTCGCGCTGACGACACACAATCAGTTTTGCCTTTCAATTTCCTCACACACATTGCTTGTCAAAAATCATCAAAATTGAAAGCCATTAGGTAGGCTGCATTCAATTTGAGAAGCAATTTCATTATCAACATGTAGCCTTCAAGAAAACAATGTAACTAACTAGCTTCTGAAGAACATTTTCCATTTTAATTCCATTGTAGATTAACATTTTAACATGCATAAGCTTAGTATTTTTTTATTCTCACAAAATTCGCATGCCAATGCTGAAAAGCTCATCAAAATTGAAAGCCATTAGGTAGGCTGCATTCAATTTGAGAAGCAATTTCATTATCAACATGTAGCCTTCAAGAAAACAATGTAACTAACTAGCTTCTGAAGAACATTTTCCATTTTAATTCCATTGTAGATTAACATTTTAACATGCATAAGCTTAGTATTTTTTTATTCTCACAAAATTCGCATGCCAATGCTGAAAAGCTCATCAAAATTGAAACTCAATTGAAACGGAAAAATTGAAAGCAAGTTGCCCATTCAAGCAATAAATAAGAGTGTGTTAGTGAAAAAGTGTGAGAGTATTGAAAATTGAAAGGGGAAAATTGAATGCGTAACGGCCCGGTTAGCAATAATTGGGTTCCACATAAAAATTTTGCACGCAAATACAACAAAAATCATACGATCGTGATAGAGATCTGGCTCAATTTTTGATCCGTTCTGTTTGTTTTGTTTCACTGATAACACTGGTTTACAGCAAAAATGTTCTGTGGATGCCACTATCCAATTCCTATGTAGAATTGCTGATGTAGAATTGCTCGGTGATTCCGAAAATCGAGTTAATTTTTTCTCTATGGATACTTTTTTGAGATATTTGCAATTTACCGTTATTCAGCTTAAATCAAAAACTGGTTCCTTTTAATCACGTATATCTTACGAACCGATTTAAAAATGTTAATATAAGATAGCCATATGAAAGCCAATTAAATTTTCCACAAACCGTGTATACATCACTTTCCGACAGGGCTTATAGTTTCTGAAAAATTAATTAATAATTCCAGCTTTTTTTTATTTTTTAATGAAAAAATTAAAAAAAAAAATCAGACCTTAAAAGATGGAAAATTTAAAAAATAACAGGTTCTGTGCCAAATTTTTGCTTTTGTACTAAAGCCTGTTCTGTTACAAAAAAAATCAAGTTAATAATATTAATAGATTGGCGCTTACACATATGTTAAGTGTTTGGCCGAGCTTCTCCTCCGACTTGGGGCGTGCGCCTTGATGTTGTCACACAAAGCGGAGGGACCTACAGTTTTAGGCCGACTCCGAACGGCGATTGTATTTTAATGAGAAGCTGTTTTTCATGGCAGAAATACACTCGGAGGCTTTCCATTGCCTGCGATGTTGCTTTGACCAGGGCTTGAACCCAGGTGCTGTGGGGTGGAAGCGCGCACTGCTTACCACTACACCACAGCGGCCGACGATCAAGTAACCGATGAAGAAAATCGATGGATAAATACCAAA